CCCGCGGCCTCCCCGGTCTGCAGGGCGAGGTCCACGTCGCTCACATCTGCAGCATCCTGCGACTGGAGACGGATATTAAGCATTGATTGATTAGGTCAGTGGTTCCGGGTTGAGCGATTGGTTAATTATTGATGCCGGATGCGTCAACTACTAAGGTCATCATACCTGTAACTACAGGGGCGTAGTAATGGAGATTTTTTTTCGCAGGAGGTGTCGGTGATCTTTTCCATCTAGGCGATGAGATCCGGCGCTGACTTACATGTGGGCTTGCGGGGATTTCCCCAACCAGGTATCTCCCATCAGCGGGACTCCCTCAGCCAGGATAAGCTCAAATCTCCCGTCGTGTGTGGTAGTGAAGAGAATGTAAATGTGTCTAAGAACCAGGGGAAAGGACAAGGAACAAGGAAAGAGTGTGCAAAAGGACCTTGGCCCGTTTGTTACGGTAGTGATCCGGCTTTCGTCTGGTGTTGATCGAAGAGACCACGAAAAACTGCCGATAAGAGCAGCCGGTTACGCGAATTCTCCTCGAGACAGCAACTGAATTGCACCTAGCTATCTAGCTAGTGTCGACTATTCCGCTAAAGTTGGGACTCGAATTCTAGGATCTCTCAGGTTATAGGCACAGCAGTGATATCAGTTGATTCCCTGAGTCACATTTACCGATATGTAGATGGAGATTGGAAATATTTAGTACATTTTGTTCAAGTCTTGACATTAGACAATGTAAATCAGGTGATATTAAAAGGATCTTATAACGTTAACATTTTTTATTTCATTTGTTTTGTCAATGAACAGTAAATACTGTATGCATGGGGAAGTACAATCTGTTCACGTTTTCTTGAGCTTTGGAATACCTTCCTCATCATCTACCAATAAATAGTAGAATAAAGGGTTAAAAGGTACCAAAAAAGGAGGCTACTAGCATTTGATAATTGACATTTTCTTTCTCGTGTTATACATTTATTTGCACTGGTAAACCCACCACAGATTTCAGTTCTTACAACATGTGGAAAGATTTTTAGATTCATTTTTTATCTTCATTTTTTACTTACATGAAAAAACAGTTGCAGTATAACAAATATTTCTGGTATACTGCAACTTTTTGTGCACTATACCTAACTTACGACGTCAGTAATGTCGGAAATCTGAGCATCTACGCGGGAGACTCGAAATCTCCTCCATTATTTACGTATTAGTACTATACGAGGATCAGGGGCTCAAAGGGAAGATCACGTGTGGTCCGTGGCCTGTTTGTGAGTCTACTACTCCAGCTTGTGCCTAATACTGATCGTAGAACTCACACAAAACTCTAGAAGTGTTTGGAACAAAAAAAATATTTGAAAATGCTACAAACCAAATGTGGTTTTATGTAAATCACAAAGATCGAAGGCTGAATCTTGTCGTCAACTCTTAAATATGCAACGTCGCGTCAACTGAGTTATGTTGTGAGGTTAAGTTAGATTAGCTGGTACAGTGAAAAAATTACGACAGACACAGAGAAACTTGCAATTAGTTACCTTGTATTATATCAGCCTGAAACCATCTACCAGCAGTTTCATCCCTGTTTATCACATATCTGGTATTCCACAGCATAACACACTTCACCTTCCTTAGTCACCTTTTGCTAGCTAATGTCAACATCAACCGGCTTAAATCCGAAGTATTCTCCAAACCTTCGACTCCAAGAACACAGTTTTTATAATGTGAACAGTCACCGACTAATTCGCGAATTAGCGTAAGTCGAGCATTGGCCGTGACTAGAACTCACCTCCAAAGTATCGTCCAAGTCGTCCGGCGCCTCCAGGTCGAGCACGGTGCGGTTCCTGCCGTCCCTCGCGGCCACCTGCGACTGCAGCGCCAGGTCCCTGTTAGCCGCCTCCAGGTCCTGCAGAGAGACGTCCTCATGAAGGGCCAGGGGAAGTCACAGGAGACAAGCAACATCAACCGTAGCAAACCTCCCCGTTTTCATGGATATGCTAATATCTCGATTCTGGTGAATTGATTGATTGAGTAGTGTTTCCGCGCTATCAACTTCTAAGTTCATTAGATCCGTAAGTGTAGTGCATGCTTGTTGTTCCCGGGATGTTACGGTGATATTTCTCGGCGTACGGCGAGATTCAGCGTGAGGCTCACATTCGGGTTGCAGTATTATCTCCAACCAGGTATCTCCCGCCAGCGAAGCAATGTGCCAGCCTGGTCATGCGTTAAAGTCTTGATCATTCTCTCGACATTTGTGCATTTCAGTGTGTGTAAGTAAGGGGTGAGGAAATGACAAGGAAGAAGAAGACAAGATCAAGCTCGGTTCTTGGCCCGTTTGTTAGGATTCTGGTCCAGTTTTTCGACTAGAAAACAAGGGGTTCCTACCTAAGGTCATTCATTGCACATTATATAACAATAATAAATAAATAAATAAATAAATAAATAAATAAATAAATAAATAAATAAACTAAATAAATAATAAATAATAAATAAAATATAAATAAATAAATAAATAAATAAATAAATAAATACAATTAAATAAATAAATAAATAAATAAATAATAAATAATAAAAAATAAAATAAATAAATAAATAAATAATAAATAATAAATAAATATAAATAAATAATAAATACAATACAATAAATATAATAATTTAAAAAATAATACAATAAAATAAATAACTAAATAAATGCGTTTGCTCCAGTTCCCGCAGCGACAGCTCAAGTTCTCTCCTCCCGGCGAGCAGCGTGAAACAGCTCGCAAGTCGTGGCCGAGGGGTCGCGCAAGGGTGAGGTCCAGGCGGCCGTCCTCCTAACTCCCTCAGCTCTCGGCCGCGTGCGCCCACTCCCGCTCCCTCTCGGCACGATCGACGATCTCTCGCGGGCTCACGGCCGCGTCGTTGAGAGGCATAGCCGCCTGCAGCGGACTGCAGGGTGAGGGCCGCGCGGCAGCGCTCGCCGCGTCCTCGTCCTGCACCGTCACATACACGTCACCTCTTATTCTAATCATTCACATCAAGCATCACTCATGCATTCACGTCCCTCATGCATTGACCTCCTCATGTCATTGATCACTCATTCATTGACCATCATTTCATTGACTCACTCATTCATTGACTCACTCATCGCAATTCACTCATTGACTCACTCATTCATCGACTCACTCATCATTGACTCACTCATTTCATTGACTCACTCATTCATTGACTCACTCATTCATTGACTCACCATGTCCACTCACTCACTCATTCATTGACTCACTCATCACATCACTCATTCACTCACTCATTCACTCACTCATCTCATTCACTCATTCAATGCCACTCATTCACTGCACTCATACTCACAATCCATCTCACTCACGTCATCCATTCCACTCATCATTTCACTCGTGCCATCCTCCTCATTTCAACTCACTCATCACTCACTCATCCATCACTGTTCATCGCTCTCCTCATTCACCTCTCATTCACTCAGTCATGCATTCATTCATTCATGGACTGCAAAGAAAATAACCTGGCCAAATTATTAAATATTAATTGACAGACAGTACTCAACAGTTTGACCGTTTTTGTTAATGTTTAAAATACAATTTATATTTGAATACAGGAGAAGGAGAAGTTGATTTTCCGGTTGTCGAAAGCACTCAACTTGAATTGTACGTTTTGTTCATATGCATACATAAATGCATGCTTACATGTGCAGAATATCTCGAAATAAGTGTTACAAACACTTGGGGATGTAATGAGATGCGAAATGATAACTTATTGCCTATTAATACAAAGTGATGTATTTAATTTTTCGGAGTTATATATTTGCCCCTGATTTATAGGCAACGCTAAACGCACATATGCTCTGCAAGGTGCATCCTGACGCAGTCAAGGAGACTCCATTTACCCACCGAACAATGTGTATGCATACAGAGTTATCTAAAAATCAGTGACAAATATCACATTCATTATTCCGTCATAAGAAAATCCCACTCTAATTTCAGGGTCGAAAGGTGATCATTTGCATCTCTTCTATATGTCCAGGAATTTTCTAACATTTATTCTAAGATTATTTGCATGTTAACACTTTTTTTCGGAGCCGCGCGCCAGCTACAGAACTATATGAATTCCCCGCCGAAATGGGCGGTTCATGGCGTTAGCAATGCAGTGTATTATGGGAAAGATAACGAATTTTTCGCACCCCACTTAAAAAAGAAGAATTAATAGTCCTCTCCCAAGGGCTGTAAATTTACTGGACTACGAGTATATTTTTTGGGTCGTCACCGAATGTATTATTTCGTGTTTCCGAGTGCGTCAGCTGTTAATGTCATTAGTACCGTAAATATAGTGCATCCTTTAAGGCGGGAGATGGCGGCCATCATGCCCAGCTGGATAGTGACCTACACGTCAACTGGCGGGGTTTTCTTCAGCCAGGTATCTCCCACCTGAAGGGAACCCCCACTCGTAAACTCTCGAAGCCCCCGAGTGATGAGTGATCTCCCGGGTTGTGTGAGGTGTAAAGACACGCATGTATAGGATATCCATCTCCTTACGCATCAATCTGCTTAAAATCAGTAGCAACTGTCACTGATCTAATCCCGTTTTACATGCTTTGGCACAAAGTGATTATTTTCTACTCTTCTGCATGCCCTAGAAGTTTGTTACATTTATTTTGAGTCATTTGAATATAGAGCAATCTTACATTTCCACAATGAGTGGATTTGTTGAAGGTTCATTGTCAAAAAGTGATCACTAACGACTCTTCTACGAGCCCTAGAAATTTATTACATTTATTCAGAGTTATCTGTATATAGCGCAATCTCACATTTCCCTAATGAGTGGGTCTTCGGTAGGTTCATTGTCAACAACTAATCTGTTTGATTCAACACGCCCTAGAAATTTGTTACATTTATTCTGAGACATCTGTATGTAGAGCAATCTCACATTTCCCTAATGAGTTGTTCTTCTGTAGGTGTCTTGCCAAAACGTGATCAGTTTCGACATGTCCTGGAGAAGTTTACAACATTTATTCAGAGACACTGCGCATGTACGATGATTGGAAGGCTCACGTCGTGCGCGAGGGCGCGGCGCTGGCGGGCGGCGTGGGCGGCCTGCAGGCGCAGGTCCATGGCGAGGGCGTCGGCGAACACCCCGCGCGACGAGCGCGGCGCGCGCGCCCACGACTCCCACTCGTCCTACGCATGCGCAAACACAAACACACGCGCGCGCGCGCAACGCCGAACCGCCTCCCAGACGACACTCGCACGGCGCCTTGCAACCAGGGCCCTGTAACTCCCATATAACGTGGTGGGGACCATTACGGTGGCGCGCTCTGGAAGCATCACGCTTCTTTACAGGAACTAAAACAGGAACTGCTGCCAACAAACTAACTTCAACGTGCCTGACCTGCTGCGTGAGTTCGCGGGTCGCAGCAGGACCATAATTGTTACAAAAGATAACGTATACGTTCGTGATTTTCAGAAGTTTCTTACAAGTTGAGATTATGAATAATTGTACATTTTCTAGAAGACACTTTTTCGTATTTGTCACAAATTACGCCAATTTGTATGTGGGAAAGTTGGCGAGCCTAACCTGCAGCTGCACCCGGCGACACTAGCGCTTCCTATAGTAGCAACCTCGAGTTTGTCCCCGATTTTGATTGGAGAGTTGCAGGCCCTGCTTGCAACTACGTCTACGCGAAGTCTAATAACAGTTGAAGCTCGTACTGCGTGTTACAGCTAGAGACTCTACGTTACGCAGTCTAATAATAGATCAAAATCATATGCAATGAGTCATACAGACTCATCGCACAGCGCGGCCCTCGCGTCACCAGCAAGAAGGTGTTTGAAACATCAACGTAGGCGTGTGTCGTGATAGAGCCATACAAAACACGGGGTGCAAGCCCCCTCCATGAAAAAACACGATCCCACCACAACACCATTTTGGATGTGTCCTGATACTGTTGGTCACATAGTGTACATATGTGATTGCGTGTGTAAAGGTACAGTAGGATGCAAGTATGAGAAACGAACGATAGTCGCATTGCGTGTCCCGTTTGTTGAAGATCGAACTCCTGCGTTCGCATAGTACTACTGATCGAAAAAAAAACCTGAAAAGTACCGCCAGTGAACCCGGAAGATAGATTTCTCCCACTGGTAGCAGCTGAATCAGACCTACTAGTGTCGAAAATAACGTTTTATGTGGGGGAGAGATAATGGTGAAAGAAGAGAGAAAAAGGAGAAGAGTTAATGAATAATAAGAGAATATAGAAATGTCTCATCTCTTACGGACTACTCTAATAGCTTCTAAACGGTTCAGGATATCGAAATGCAGTTTTGCTCAACAATGCTCAACAACAATCATCGGGCAAGTAAAGTGCTGTATACATATTGTTTGAAACATTTTTAGTTTTCGAGAAATTTAATCATCTTTGATTTAAACTCGTTGAAAACCTCTTCGAGTACTTACTGAACTCTGAGTTCGGGACATCTTTTCCTGTTTCGGACTTTTCACCGACACCCTTTTCTGCAACAAGAATGGTCCGAATTAGCATTGCACGGTGTGGGAAGTGTGTAAGAAGATTGAAATTAAAAATAAACAGCAATTTCATGTAAAACGTTAATATTTTAATAAAGTAATTTCAATGAACTACGCACAAGATACTCAGTGCGCACCACCCTTCAAAACAGGGTTGTCCAACTGGCGGCCAACGCAGCCATTTTATGTGACCCGCGAAATGTTGCGTGATTTGTGCTGTCCTGGTGGCGTCGCGTCGATGGCTGTGTTGCCGTCGTAGCGACCATCTTGTCGTGGTCTTCGTCAGAGCTGGTATGCGCGGAAGACCACGATAAGATGGTCGCTACGTCGGCAACACAGCCTTCGACGCGGCGTCACCCGGACAGCCCAGATCACGCACATGACTCAGGCCGCGGAAGCCTACGACCCCGCAAAATGTTGTTAGTGAAACATGAAAGACCCTTTCATCCATATCGGGCGAGAACATTGTGCAACTAAGGACTTTTTTAAGGACAATAACAAAAGAAAGACGTAAGGAAAAGGGCAAGATTTAAGGACTTTTTCTTGTAAAATCATTAATTCAAGACCTTCCCAATACGTTTCATTGCTTTAAGTTATGTTTAGATTTAAGACATTTTTTCTCTAGTAAAATCATAAATTCACAACCTTTCCAATACGTTGCATTCCTTTATGCATGGCATGGCCTGGCACCACATATGGTTTCATCTCCTTCCCGATTCAGAGCAACCGGTTAAACTGCAAGATCAACAATACTGGTAAGTCAGGGAATTGGATCGCCCAATTGATTAAAATATGGCCCGTAACCATATTATGGGTTTTCGTTGCAGTTTTCGAGGCCTTTCAACCTTTGCTCCAGGGGAGCACAAATAGTTGTACTTTTCAAAATTTTTTATACTAACGAAAGTCTTTCAATATCTCAATTCAAAGAGTTATATAATTATAAATCAACAAATAAAAATAAATGTTACATTCAGCGTAAAATATTTTTTTAAGAAAACATTATGTCAACGGGAAACTAGATCCCCAAACTCGTACTGCTCTCGTAAAATTCTTTACTTACGCGACTAAGTAATTATATCATTGGAAACAATTTCTTACCAGGAAAGCTACTTTTTTAGGTACTGGCTTCAAGAGATGGGTCTAAATATGCTTCTTCTATTAATTTCATTCGGAACTGGATGTAAAAGTAGGATTTGTTTACATATTTTGAATCCAGAACATTGTTTATCTGTCTTAATTTCGTTCTTTAAAGACGTTTAGGGTTCAAAATATCTTCTCCAATTCTGGGATGCAATACTTGTAAGATGAAACAGATCTAGATTACTAAAACATTTTTTTCTTTGTTAATAACTATGGATTTGGGTTAAAGCTTTTTATAGAATTCTACTTTTTTTATTACATTTCTCATTGTTTCACTAATTCAATTAGTAGTTATTAGGTACAAACTATTTTTAATGTACTTAAGCTTTAAATATGATTGCTAATAATTACCTTAGAGAGTTGTAAATATCCGCAAATGCTTCTCCATCTTCGTCATTTTTACATAAGTAATGGAAGATTTAAGCCAAGTGCATTTCATATGCAATATAATGAACGTTCATAAAATAGTTCATTTTACAAATACTCACGGATATTTGTTAATAGCAAAAATACCTACACAGCAAATAAATATGTAGCAATGTTCTGATAATTTAATTTTATGAAAATTCAATTCATGATACATTTCATTACGAATAAGTGTTTGATAGAGCATGAAAAATATGCATTTTAAGACTGACACTCTCAGAGGTAGCTAAGAAAAGAATAATGTGATCACGTATGTTCAATCATAACAATTTTTTACTTGCACAGGATTCCCCTGTACGTATTTCATTAAACAATATTATGCAATAAATACTACGTGGTACATTAATGCTTATCACTTTTGAGAATTCCAGTCTTTACTTCTATGCATGGATGCAAGTTTTTGTGTAACATCACGTTATTTCATTCCTTAAATTATATTTGTGCTGTATAACTCAACATCAATGAAGTTTTTTTATTTTTAATTATTTTGAAATACCTCAGCCTTTGGTGCAATTCTCAGCGTCGCTTTCCGACAAGCATATTTCTTCCTTCCATAAGGTGTTAGAGTAGTGAGACTCTCTAGTAACTTTCCCCATTTCTGTTTCAATCACTTTCACATTACATTGCTCCAAAAATAATAGTTCTCAGGAATAGTTAAGCCATTTTCGTACACATGTGGAACTAATTAGAAAATACTAAAAAACCATGAAATAAAAACGGAGAAGTCGACGAAATTGTTTACAATGTTCTCTGAAAATGTTCGTTCACGAATAAATCAATACTACTTACAATATGATAATCACGCAGTGGTCTCCTCTATTTATTTCAATTAGTATTATGTAACATCCTTATATTTCGAAAAATTATTTATATTGTATCGTTTCTTATCCATATCGTAACATCATTTATTAGGTTATGTAAACAACAACATAAGTTAAAAACACGAAAATTTGAATAAGCCCTTCACATGAACATGAGTAAATAATTCTGGTAGCCTGGATCAAAACAAAAGACGACTATACATCGTTAGAGAGATAGTGTGTGAAGAAACCGTAAGTACAAAAGCATACTGAGATATTATAATAGAAAAAATAACTTGCAGAACGCATATATATATTTTAAAAATCGTATTAGAAAGTTCTTAATTTCTGTAGCTCTGTGGCGAGAGAAAAATCTCCAGCAATCCAAGTATGCTAATTACGAGGAAAAAAATATTCATTCTCGACACATGTCTTACAGACGGGGATAATAAATAAAAACGACCCAAGACTGAACAACAATAGCTTGCAAATTAGAAATCCGACATTGATTCCAATGTTTTCAAAACATAGATGTTTCTATAAAAATATCAATGTTCAAAAATCAATGATTTAAAATCAATGTTTTGGCTCCATGTCTTTACGTTTTCGATGTTTCATTCGTGCATAAAAATCCCATGATCACAATTTTGTAAAACTTCAAAAATGAAATAACTGATACGTGCTGAAAACTTCCATTGTGTTTGAATTACACGAACCCAGTTTGTAGTACCTTTATTAAGCACACTATCCCTCGCCCGAGATGACACTGATATCTTGGTTTTCCGTTGTCTTCCCTCATATTTCGTCCATAAATAGGGTTTTATAATTTTATTTTCAATTAATTTTAAAAATAAATTAATAAACATGAGCGATGTCCATAGACGGCCGATGTTTAAAAACATCGATGAATTTTGGTTGATGTATTATTAACGTAAATGGTTTATTGTCGATACCGCATGTTGTTTGTGTACTGTTGCAAACGTTTAATAAACTACATCCAGAAATGCAAGAACAATGAACAAGAACTGACGAGATTAAAAATCAAAAGTGTAGAAAACATTGCTTGCAAGTGTAATTCACAGGAACCAGAAAAAGCCAAAGATTTGACGAAACGTGACATACTGTTAACCTAATCGAAGTTTCTTTGTTTGCCAAAACACATAAAAACTTAAAGGCAAAAACCATTTCCGTGCCAAAATCACGCTGGGTAGAAAACTCCAAAAATGTTGACGAAATTAACCACAGCGTTTGCCAACATTCGCCAATTCAAATCTCTCGTTTGTGAATCATAAAAATGGGCAAAAGGCAGAAACATTAGGGGATTAATATCACTCTGGTCAAAATAATTATGTAATGCAACAAAATTTGAACCACTTCTCAATTACTGGCCAAGGTTTTCCAACCCGAAAAATTTCGTTTCCTCAGCCAGTCCAAACAGTTTTATAAAAAATACGCTACGAGGTCAAGCAAGGTAGCGTATGCTTCAATTACACAGCTAGTGTAAACATCGAGTTAATCCATTAAGCATTATTGTAAGTATTTTAACTAAGGAAAAGCCTGTTAATTTTTCATATATTAAACAGTACATAAATCACGCTTCGGTTACAAAGGCTCTCCATGTCGCTCTTAAATAGTCATACGTAATTATCTTGCAAAAGTAATTTTAGTGACCTATGTAAATTTCTAATACTGTATTCATTATTGTGGGCCATTTTTTAGCAGTTTTATTTGAAATTGTACTTTTGACTTAATGCACTTTCTACCTCTTAATAGATCCATTTTAAGACCTGTAAATTTAATTCAATATAATTCCCAATGCATCTCAGCTGCAAGGAGGCCGGATAAGGGTGGACAAAGCCAGGGGCGGATTCAGCCGATCATTTGATTGGGGGGCATCGTAGATTTTTGTTGAATAATAGACATATTGAAGTGAATTAAAAGTTCTCTTTCAATATAATTTTAAAACATTATTTCCCCGCGTTCGGCATGCCATTGAAATAATCTCTTTCCAATAATATTTACAATTTTCACACGACTTAACTGCACTCTGTTGGGCCTCTTATTGAAGTGAACCAAAACTATAATTATAAAAGTTTCACAATATCTTTACTGTATATCTATACAATTAACGTTTCCCGATTTTCTCATTTTGACCGGCTTTGGTCGTGCTATTTTAGCCAATCAGAATTCTGCCCAATAACGTTTACATTTTCAATATTTTTAATTTAATGGAGTCGTTAGCTCTGGTTTTTTATTTGATCTTCGGGCGTCAGCAAACTTACACTTTCTCAAGGTACTATACTTGTCTTCATAGGCCTGAAAATACCGCTCATACAAGTATACGGGAGGTGAATTTAATTATAGTTAAGAAATCTGTTACTGTTGTAATTTAAACTCTCAAATTGTGTTTATGAATTTCCAGCGACAGTACGTGTCGGCTGCCTCAATTGTTAGTGATTGCGAACGCGTCTACTAGAGTTATTAGTCCTGTAAGTGTGGTGCATGCTTTTGCTCGGGAAGTGGCGATTGTCTTCCGCCTCTGAATGGTGAGATCCGGTGTCAACCTGCTGTCGACTAGTGTTTACCCAACCAGA